GATCCATATTTTATTTTTCAGGCATGGACAAATGGCCGATTGCACTCTCCCTATCACCAAGTAATGATGACTGGAAACGAGGCCCGGTACTCAGCTGGTTTATTTTCAATCCCAAAGGCTGGCTACATAATAAAAGCCCCAGAAGAGCTCGTAGATGAAGAGCACCCCTTGCTGTTCAAGCCATTTGATCATGTTGAGTTCCTGTCATTCTACTACACCGAGGCTGGACAAAGAGCTCAATCTGCCCTCAAGACTTACTGTGGCGTCTAAGATTTAGCAACAAAAGGAATTATTTGCCAATTTGTTTAGCTAATCTGGTGTTGAAACTTTCAATTATCATTTCTGGTGTTTCAAGTTTCTATTCCTACGATGACTCCTCATATGTCACTTCGTATTAAAATACCGTGTGATATTTGTTTGATCAAATACCATACTTGTATGAAGTCTTGTGTATGGAATTAGGAAGTGATAGATGTTGTTTATCGTCTTTGGTCAAATAGATTTGGGGCACTGAGATAACCATAGTGATCTCTAGTTTACCACAACTTGGTGAAGCTCCCCTCAGGATTGGATAATGGGATCTTTTTTGGATAAAATATCATAATTTCATTAAAATCTATACTAATGGCATATCAATGAACAAATTTAAGAAGAATGGATGCTACAAATCTAAAAAACAAAGTAGGCCTACAAAGTGACTTGCATTTGCCAATTTAAGCTTTCAAACTGCAAAGTGAATCATCAATACTCATCTCGACCTAAAGATCTAATCAATATCCGAAAGTGTTCTTGTCAAGATCAAAATTTCATTCTCTAAAAATCATCCTTTTACGCTGATTGTTCACCACTAACCTGGCTAATTAGGCCTGTAAAATGGATTGGATCTGGATCACAATTGATAGTTTTTTTTTTTTTGATAAAAACAATAATTTTATTTCTAAGATTGTTGGAAATCATCCAACTGCAAATGATTTACAAAGATTGGAGGAGAATTTCAACGGGATTCAACATACTTGGTTGATTTGACATAGAGGGCCAAATTCATGAGCGACTTTATTTGCATCCCTAGAAGCCCAATTTATATCAATCGAACTACGATGTGAAAAAGCTGTTCTAATATCATCGATCAAAAGCTCGGTAGTAGAAAGGACATGCTCTGTAGAGCACACTTTGAATGGTTCCCAGTCCATCATCTTCAAGAGCAAGTGGGGAGACACAAATTTTTTGCCCTAAAGATAGCTCCCTTAGGCGGCAGCCTCAGCCACTTCCGGAGTAACCGTACCACGAAATTGCTTTGCTAAGCCAGTGAAAAAAATACCACTGTGATCCGGGATAACACAATACCTATACTATAAGCATCTTTAACCTGGGAAATAGCAGCATCAAAATTAACTTTAAAGTGGCCTATTTCTGGGGGTGACCATCAAGCAATTTCATGGTTAGTACTATGATTTGCAGGGCTTGTGTTAGCTTCTTTAAAAGCTACATGGAGACAAGACACTATTAGGTTCATGAGTAAAGGGTTATATCCCACATTGGTCCGAGAAATAGAAAAAAAGTGGTTAATATGTAAGTAAGGGTCCGAGACCTAATGGCTTAAGTTTTTAGAGTAGAGTTGGGTTTTTGACTTATATATTGGACTCTTTGATAAACTCTCTCGAGATGTTTTCCCCTATCAAATTAGTATCAGAGCTTCAGTTATTCTCTTCTTAGTGGTGAACGGAAGTGCTAAGGAGTTTAGTTAGTATTGAACTAGGTGTGCTATGGGCTTGGCAAGGGATCCGGTTGGTGTAAGATGGAGCCAAGGGTTGGTAGAGATCACAAAAAAAAAAAAAAATTCATTTGGAATGTTGAAGAAGAGTGAGTCCATATTTGGGAGAAGAGGTAACCTTAAATGATAAGGTGGCTTATGTTAAGTATTAAAGTGGGCTCGAAAAAAGGATTATAGATTTGGATTTTAATGTGGGGGTTACTCATGAAATAGGAGATTTGTTAGATTTATAAGTAAAGGGTTATGTCCCTCCTTGGTGCAAGAGATAGAAAAAGAGTGGTTAATATAAGTAAGGGTCCGAGACCTTATAACTTAAGTTTTTTAGTCGGAGTTGGGTTCTTGACTTATATATTGGATTCTTTGGTGGACTCTCTCGAGATGTTTCCCCTTGTCAGGCACAAATGAGACTAATGCCAGAGGATCCTTGCATTTCTGATTGTGCAAATAAGAGTTTCGAGCACTACAAATCATAAAACATAGGAAAACAAAGTACTCACAATCATCGCTGGAGAACTTTCGTATCATTTCCTTTGTCCAAAGACACACATTGTCGTGTCGTGTGACATGCTCGTGTCAGCATTTCTGGATTTTTCGCTCCTAGAAAGATAGCGCCCAAACCTGAGTTGACATTGGGCAGTTAAATAAAGTGTGCAGAAGATCCCTATTAGCTTCAGAACATAGTACACAAATGAGGTCACCTAGCACTCGCCGTAGATTATCACAAGTAGGAGGAGAATAGTGACAAACAGGCCAAAGTAGATGTTTGCACTTACTGGGAGTATTGAGAGACCAAAGTTTCTTCCATACATGATCCTGTTCTCCGCGGTAATTGCCTTGATCAGCCAATTGTGTTGAATAATCTCTGAATTCATGGTAATATGGTAAGCACTTCGTAGAGTGAACTTACCATTCTTTTTGTAATGCCAAACCCATCTATCAGTTGCTCATACTCTGCCTAGAGGAATCAATTTGATGAGCTCTGCTTCTTCAGGCCAGAAGATATCATCATTTAATGAAACATCCCAACATGACAACTCATTATCTATGAGTTCATGAGCATCAAGAGGAGGATGACAGCAAGGTGAATTAACTAGGAATGAATGTGGTCTGGGCAGCCACCTATCAACCCATATGCGAATAGAATTGCTAGACCTGACTCTCAATCTGCAACCAATATTTAGCACCTTACGACCTTCAAGGATACCATGCCAAGTGAGGGATGGACACGAGCCCAAACTAGCCTGCAGGAAATCAACAACTGGGAAATATTTGGCTTTAAGTATCTTGGACAGAAGGGTATTGATAGGTTGCAATTTTACTATTTATTTTATTATTAATTTTCCCTATTACCTGACTTGATATGGATTAATTGCTGAATTCTACTCACTTTTCGTAATTTGCATTTATTTCAGAGAGTAGATCAAAAATACCATAATCACTGCTATTTTGACAGTCATCGGGAAAGAAATAAAATAAAAGGCTTGCAAGGGCATTTTTGGAAAAAAGGGACACAAGCCCTTTTCGGTCATTTGATGGATGTCTTGTTTTCCCTGGGAGCCGCCACACAGTGCAAGGAGGAGACTACGGGATACGGGGCAGGCTGACGACCGCTCCTGAACGGTCTCCTCACAATATAAAACGTGAGGAGACAAATGAGCCAAGTCAGCAAGGCTGAAGCAGGGCAGAAAAACGGCATCGTTCCAAATAAAAAAATGTTGACTTCCAAACGTGAGCAGATGGAGCAAATGGAAGAGAAGTAGATTTTGAAATTCAAGTTGAAATTTTGAATTAGCCGCAGAAAACAAAACTGAGGGAAGAGTCTTGGCGTGCTTCTGAAGGAGCTCTACTCTGACAGTCTGACCGACCGCTCACTGAAGGTAGAAAGCTGAAGTTCGAGTGGAATTCGATCTACTAGCTCTTTCTAGGTGAAGTGGGTGTAGTCTACTCTGATGAAAATAGCAATTGACAGAAAAGTGAGTGGAGAGGCAGGCGACAAGGTAGAGCAAACAGAGATGAAGCCAAAGTTTGGACGGAAAACTGAATAGCAGGAGCAGCTGTGGTCTTCAACTGGGTATAAGAGTATTGTATCTATTTTGAATGCGCGCAAGGCAGGCGGTAAGGTAGAAACAAACAAAGGAAGGACAAAATCTCACGAAGCCAGATTTTGTCCTTCAACTTAATAGCAGAAGCAGCTACGCTCTCCGACTTCGGTGAAACGTGAAGCGTATTAGCAGACCAAGGTAACATGACTGAACCATGTCAGTAACTGTGGCCAATAATTTGTCACCCAAATGCACATCTGTTAAATGAAGGATGAAATTAGAGTCACTGAAGACATAATATGAAGATGATAGAAGAATAGTGAAATTGTACTGTATTTGCATGTGTGTACCGTATCTGTGTGTGTGTGACCATTTAGTTTTTCAGTGATGGACTATAAAGGGATAGTAGTTTTTGGAAGACCTAGGGGTATGTATTCAAGTAAACCATTGAACGGAATTAGGGAAAGATGAGAGAAACAAAGTCACATTTAACAAGTGAATGAATGTACATCTTGTTGTAAATTAGTTACATGTTATAGCCACCGTATTACAATTGATATGAATCATTGTGCATCTAGTAATTGGTCCATGCTCATAGAGTAATATTAGTTTGCCCCTCTCTTGACCGTGTAGTGTGTATAAAATAGAGGTGTAGAGTTGAATGAGGTGAAACTGAGGAAAAGACATAAATGTGAACAATAAATGGGTGAACCTTGTATTGTAAGTAAATTACATGATTTAAAAAATATATTACAATGAATAGAAAGTGATTGTTTAGCCCTCAAAATGTAGAAATAGTAGAAAATGCGGAGTTGGCTTATGCGGTTGTCATCAACGAATGATATAAGGTACAGTGAGCTAAAGAATCTAGAATCAAAATATAATCACCAGCGTGGATGTACATACAATTAAAATAGACTTACATCGTGTGACCAATACGTTACAATCCGTATAAGTTAGTGTACATGGAGTTGTATTTGGACACAGATTGTCTTAGAGTAAAAGTAAGGTGATGTGAATCATTAATCATATTGATAGCGTAATAATAGAATTTGGTATACGAGTAATGTATGATTCATAACACATTATGAATGGTAATATACATTTATGTTGTCGTTTATGTACATACTATTTATGAAGTGTTGCAAATTAGGGTGTTTGATGCATAATTGGCAGGATCAGAAGTAATGGATTGCAGCAAATTGGCAGAAGATGGGACCCCTGAGTTAGGAATGGAGTTCAACAGCGAAGAGGATGCGTACAAGTTTTATAACAAATATGCCTTTAAAATGGGTTTTAGTGTACGTAAAGACAAAGACGGCGTGATCACGTCTAGGAGATATAGTTGCTGCAAGGAAGGTGTGAAGCGCAAGTACGAAGGTGATGTGATGCCAAAGAGGATACGAGCGGCGACGAAAACAGGGTGTGGAGCTAAAATGGTTATCGTGTTGTTTAGAGGAATAATGAAGCACCGTGTGCATGACCTTGTCTTAGAGCATAACCATGGGTTGCACATTGCTCAATGTGCGCACATGATGCCATCACAAAGAAAAGTAAGCGAGGCTCAAGGATTCCAAGCTGAAATAAGCGAGGACGCTGGGCTTTCATTGAAACAGAGCCATGAGCTTATGGGAAAGGAGGCAGGTGGGATGGAAAATGTGGGATATACTCGGGAAGACCTGAAACGATATCTTCGTACTAGACGGGAAAGGAGTTTGAAATATGGAGAAATAGGTAGCATGCTGAATTATTTTCAAGAGCAAACACTCGAAAATCCATCGTTTTTTCATACCGTACAGCTGGACTGTGAAGAGCAGATAACGAATATCTTTTGGGCTGATGCAGGAATGTTAATTGACTACAAATTTTTTGGAGACGTAGTCACATTCGACACAACCTACAAAACAAATAAAGAATACCGGCCACTTGGAGTGTTTGTGGGTTTTAACCAACATAGGTAAATTGTGATATTCGGTGCTGCCCTTATGTATGATGAGACTATAGATTCTTTTAAATGGGTGTTTGGTACATTTCTAGAAGCAATGTGCGGAAAGCGTCCAAGTACCATACTAACCGACCAAGATCATGCCATGACAGCCGCTCTTTCAGTTGTTATGCTTGAAACATTTCACGGTCTATGTACGTTTCACATAAGGCGTAATTTTATGAAACATCTTGGCAATCACTACAAGGAAAATAGTGATCTTCCATACATGTTTGGTGCATGCATGTATGAGTTTGGAGAAGTGGAACAATTCAATAGAGTGTGGGAGGCGATGGTGAAGAAACACAATCTTGAAAATAATGAATGGCTCTCCGCGTTGTATAGAATTCATGCTAAATGGGCAAGGTGCATGATGAAAGAAAGATGGACAGTGGGAATGCGAAGCACCCATCTTAGCGAAAGCCCAAATGCAACAATTAAAAATCATTTGAAACTGGATCATGACCTTGTGCAGTTGTTTAGACATTTCAATCGGGTGGTTGATGAAAAGAGACATAATGAACTGATCGCAGAATATGAAATGAGGCAAAAGCTCCCCATGGTCGGGTTAAAGCAAACACCTATGCTTGTGCATGCATCAGAGACGTATTCACCAACCGTATTTGTTGCATTCCAAAATGAATATGGCGAGTCAACAACTATAGTTATATTGAGACAACAAGATGCAGCGATGATTGTGGAGTTTGCGGTCATGAGGTATGATGGAGGATCTAAAAGAATAGTGGTATTCAATCGGAATGATCTAAGTGTACGTTGTAGTTGCAAAAAATACGAGAATGAAGGCATTTTATGTGGGCACGCGTTGAAGGTGTTTGATACTATGGGCATAAAAATAATTCCTCCTGAATACATTAAGAGGCGATGGACAAAAAGAGCTCGGGCTGGAGACTGTTTTGATTGGCGAAGACGGGAAATTGTGGCTGATCCTAAAATAATGATTTCAACTCGTTATCGGGAGCTCGCTCCAGCCATGATTAAGGTTGCAACTCGAGCAGCAATGTCGGAGGACACCAGCAAAGTAGCAATCACTGTCATATCCGATTTGGCTAAGAGAGTTGAGCTCCTCCTCTCAGAAAGCGAAGAGCAACCTTTGCAAAATAAAAAAAATCTGAATATGGAGGAACGGGATAAAATTGAAATTGTGAATGAAATGGGGGAGGCAGTAGTCGTAAGAGGCATTAAAAAACGAGGTGGTGGGAAGAAAAGTAGAGTGATACAAAGTTGGGTCGATAAATTTGACAGAGTAAAAAAAAATCTAGATTATCAAGAACTACACAGACTACGGTATGGATCAAATTTTGGTACTCGGGGAACATTTATGCTAAAACTAAGTTATCGTTATACTATTAACTAAAGTTTAGGTATCATTCATTATGAAATAATATTATTGCCGTGTCAATACTGTAGGTCTCAGATTCGGAGCCGACATCGGTTTCATTTGAGGAATACATGTTTATGGGATGTCGTTCATCTACTGACTCTGTTTCGGTTAGTATAAAATGGACATGACTGTTGCTTTTATTTGGATGTTTCTAATAGCATAAATAGTTACATTGATGTTACATTGTGTGATAATGTTGTTACTGCTGTCATCCCTCCTGATATACCTATTTTGTTTGTCTTATACAATGATTTGGTCCATACGAAACTCGTAGATGCATTCAATGAGCCAGACAGTGAATGGCCCTCCAAACGCTATTGCTCCCGATATCGATGAAAGTGAAACGGTATGTATATATTTAGTAGTTAAAATAAAGACCTTTTTATTCGTGTAGTAGAGTTACCTTTTTTTTTTATAGTATTGTAATGGTGGGCACCTGAAAGCTGTTAAATCATGCAAATTATGTAGTTAACGTATGCTCACTTTAATAACATATTATTTTTTATTATTCGAAGGTTCATCGTTTGGCTAATCAGGGGCCTCCTACAAGTGTCCTTACAGAATTGATGCATCTCAAATTTTCTATTTTTTCCAAACATAACTTCGTCAGAGATGTCTTAATGGTCTGATATATCATTTTTGTTATAATGTCTAGTCCAATTTAACTTTATAAGTGAGCAATATAGGCATTGGTAATGATTTGTTGACAGTCGATTACTTATACTATGTAATGTAGGAGGAGCGTGCGGCAATTTTAACACACTGTGATGTTAATACATATCATGTATTTGCACCTTCACCCCAGGTGATAAACTTTTATCGTTACAGCACATATTTATGTACTGTTATTAATTGGAGACTTGGACATCGTATATCATTAATCGTATGTTTCATTAGTAATATTTGCTGATTTACCATCGTTACGCATTTCAAGGAAGAAATAACACCCAGGGATTGTAACTTCGCGTTGACGTCGCCTCCCTCGAGAATAAGGTTGATGAATGATGTGTAACTATATTTTTTGAACGAGACATTAAGTGGTTGTCCCAACTTGGGAATACTGCATATGTACGTTACAAGCAGTTAATAAGGTGTTACAACTTATTGACGAGGTTGTACAGGCACCATTGATATTTCACTATTTTCAAAATTAGACAAGTGGATTACAATTGTAATCGCATCTAGTGGTAGTAATCATCAATAGTTTGTATTGGATTATATAAAATTGTTAGAAAATTATAAAGTTGGTAGAAAATTGAAGTAACAATTTTACAATAGAATTAAGCGTGTTTTTTGTGATCAGATATTTTTCACTAAATCGACCATAACAGTTGAATGGTTGTCGTGATATGTATACCATTCTACTACATTCAATTGCATACCTTAATAACATATTTATTGGCATAGATCACACCGCCAAAGGTACGATGTATAATATTGTCGCGCCCCATTTTTTGATGAAATAAATAAATTGTTTTTGTGATTTTATTGGTTTGGAAAAAGATGAATCGTGATTTAAAAGAAAAATGGGTCTAAATGGGACTTTTTGAAAATGCGACGATTTGACCCAAGAAAAATAGTTCAAAAAGGGTTTTTTTATATGAAAAATGGAGTCGCCACTTGGTATAGAGTTAGGGTGTACCAAGTCACCCAAAAAAAGTGAATTTTTAAGGAAAAAAGTAAGAAAAACCCTTTTGAACGACTCCTAGTCCACGCAAATAAAGATAAAGGTTCGGGAGTCACATTTGACGAAGGGGAAGGCAAGGATAAAATCCAAGGCACCCCTTCGACCTAGCCAAGGCTAGTTGCGTTGATTTAATCAAAGATTTTCTTGTTTTAACCAAAGAATTTATTACATTTGGATGCACTACATGAATGCAAACCCTAGACCTAGGGGTATTGGGGGAAATTTCCCTTCAAAGGTTGAATGGTGCCAATCACATTAATTTTGAAGCCCAATAACGATCCTTTTGAAGAGGCCACGAATAATGCGAGTGGGATGCCAATGAATGGAATGCATGTATGCAATGTGAGGACATGAGTTTGAAAAAGTAATAAAAGACAATAAATATGTAAATGAAAATGTGCACGTGAGTGGGCAAGGTAAGGTACGTGAAATGATAATGTGAAGTGCATGTGTGCAAGTGACGATTAAAGGTGTTCGTGTGCAAGTGAAGAAACATAAAGGTGCACGTGTGCAAAATGGGAGGAAAAGTGAAAATGTAATGATAGAGTGGATGCATGAACCTAGGGAATTCATGCATAATGGGTACGGGGAGACCTAAATCGTGACTCAATTTGCCCTTTTATAGAGGGGATACAAGCGTGCTAAGGCTTAGAAAAAGCCACACTCGTCTATATCACATATTTAAGGGGACTCTTCAGGCAAATGTACCTATACCTAGCATGAAATGCAAAAAATCCTAAAATGGAGGGAAAAGGGGTTCGAGGATCATGCCAAATGATAAAACTAAGGAAAATGCGTGATATGTGGTGAACAAGCAAATGATGTACTAACGAGGGGAAATCCCTAAGGGTCTAGCGTTGGACTAGCCCATTCTATGAATTCCGACTAGCGTTGGACTAGCGGAAACGTACATTCATCCATCACATTCATTCATAGCCATGGAAAGCGGATAGACATGCCAAACACTTATAAACACATAGCACATAACATTTAGCATACTCGACTAGATGCAAGGCCCTAATAAAGCAAATTAACACGTAGCACGTAAGTATGCAAGACAAATAAGACAATTAAAGCCCTAACTATTACATTTGCTAGCTAGGCACACGTCTTCGATAGGTCTTCCTTGAATGCTCCTCCAAGCCCTATCTATTACAAGCCAAGAGGTGTACACATACCCCATAAGGAATAACTTAAATAAAAGCAAAAGCAAATGAAATAAAAGAATTAAGGAAAAACTAGTAAAGCAAGTAGACATGCAATTCTCACGTAGCACGTTGGATCACCTAGAAGAAACAAAAAAAGATAAAAGAAATTATACCTCCCCTTCGATGGTAATCAAATGAAGTAAAAATGGCTTCAAAACAAGAAAAAGGTCAAGGTACCACTTTATTTAAGAAAACTAAAAGGAATGTGCAAAACAAGGCTCACTTGAGCATAAAGCCTCTAAAGTCATGGCTTAAGTGCAATTGAAACAAAGCACGGTAGTTAGTTGAGGCAAACAAGCAATGAAGTTGCACAAATTAAAACTACTAAGGACTAAACTGATGAAATTATTCAATTGATTGGGTCATAGTGCAACCAAAGGAAACTTGAGGGGGTTAAGAGGCAATTTTGAAGAAATTATTTCATGCATGCAAAATATCATTCACGACTAAAATTTCTGCAATTCCTTTTCTTTCTACAGCTTCTGAGACGCGTGAGTTGCTGCAATTGGACATTAAATGAACCATCACATATTCCTCAAATAAAGACTAAGCAAACTCTCATACATTTCTCTACTTTGCAAACATGAAATTTGTCAATTTAAACCCCAAAATCAAACAACAATAATGCCAAATCTGAACCAACTCAAACAATTTCATACAGAACGTATGAGACATTTCTGTCATCACTATGAAACCAGTTTGCTGCACTTCCATTTCTAAAACTCGTGTTTCAGACCCCAAAAACACAAGCTTTGTTTCGAAATTCCAAACATAATCACAACTTGAAACCAGACAACAAATGTTTAACCTCAACATTCAAACCAACAAACAATCTGGAGAGAAACTGATGCAAAATTCTGGAATGCACATGCGATCATTTGAAGAAAAACAAAACTGCCGACACTTCCTCTATTGACTTCAGCCTTCCCCTCAATCACATTCAGGCCATTCCCTTATTCAATTTAAAATTATTCAGGCAAGCAAACCAAACAGAAATGGGATGGAATCATGATCTAAGCAAACACCATAACTGAAATTTCGAAAAAAAAAGAGAGACAAGACTCAAGAGATAAGTCAAAAAGAATTTCCATTCGGCAATCTAAAATCATTTTTCAGCAACGTTGTGCAGCTATGTTTAAGGGTCATTTCAAATAGGAACCAGCTGCAAACTTATCTTTAAGAAGTCACATACAAGGGAGAGGGAGAAAGGAAACCATAATTCCCTTGTTAAATTCTGGTAAAAGAGAAATTTCTATTGCTAAAATCGTAACTCATTTTGTGCGATGCTATTGCTGTAGAAACTCTGACCAGAATTGTCATTTCATCGACACCCAACTAGCACAATCAGTTTTAAACATATTCTCAAAGCATGATTTGCTCAGCCTTAGCAGATTCAACAAGAAACATCTAAAAAAAAAGAAACAACCAAAAAAACCAACATGACAAAAAGGAAAGGAAAGGCCACGCGAAATCTGGAACAAGTTTTCTTGCCATTTTCCTTGTTGCGACTGTGCGGCTCATTGGCAATCCAGACACACAATTTTAAACAACGAACCAAAGAATGAAACATGCTCTATCTCACTGCCCACATACATACATATCCCCATCAAATGACTAACACAATCGACACTCCAAAACAAACAAAACAGGTATACTTCCTACGGTGAAACCTTCACTTCACTAGACCCGAACCCACATCACTCTCAAGTTATCAATTCTCGCATACCCCAAACACAAAAAAACTGTCAATTTCCTCATAACCCAAGCACAAATTCCAGGAGAAACCGGACAAACAACTCAATGAAAAAACAAACTAAGGATGATGCAATTCTGAAATATACAACTTACTGAGCTTACTTGAAAGATGTTAGGTAGAAAGGATTACCTTTAATGCCTTATAGTGTCTAGTGAGCAAAGAAAAATTGAAGAGGTTGCACCAAGATGTCAACTTTGAAGATGCAGGTTTCAGGTGAACAGATTCCCAAAGTTTCGTATGAAGACAGAAACGAAACCTTTTCCTCCTTCAAGCACTGGTCAGATTTCTCTCTTAGCCTCTTCTGGTTTTCTTCTCCAGCCGCTACTTCATCAAAGGATCCTCTCAATCACTCGGCTGTCAAACTATCCTCCCTGGTTTCTGTTTTCCCTTTTTCTGTTCTTTTCTCCCTGGTTCCTCACTCAGTCTTTTCCGCTGTATTTTCCTCCGTGCTTTCTTTTCTTGCTGTTTCTTTTTCGTTCCCCCTCTCCGTAACTCTCTCGTATCTCTTTTCTCTCCTGGTTGCGGCTGTCATTCTTTTTCTTTTATATCCCAGTTTCTAACCCTAAAACCCCAGCAATCCTTCATTTATTTGCTGTCGAAACCCCCAGGCCCTTCTTGTGCAAGCTGCCAAAATGCAGCTTGCCGCGACTAGAATGTCTCTTTTTTTTCAATTTTCCTCTTTTTCTCTTTTTTTACTTAAATGAAATTGACAAAATATAAATAATAACAATAATAGAAACAATCAATAAAAAACAAAATGCTTGTAACCTGAATTAATATTTTTTGGGAATTTTCCTTTTCTTTGAAAATAATTAAAATGTATCAAAAAGTAAATAATACCTATTATACTAAAAACTCTTTCTTCAATTTTCAAAATTTTTCACTTTTTTTTCTTTCAAAATAAGCCATATGCATTAAACCATTTTTCCCTTTTTCTCATTTTTTTCTCTTTTTCTTTTTGGCATTTTCTCCTTTTTT